AATCTTGTAATATAAATTATACCCGAACACTATAAGTTCAATTGTGATACACTTGGATTTCATGTGTCTCTCATTTTGTTATCGACAGTCTGACACTTAATCATCAAATTTCCTTCTTTAAAAAGTTTATTCTCGAACATATCTGGTTCGTATATCTTACTTTTGATAATGGATCAAAACTTATCCCATCAATATTGCATTTCATTTAATGATTATTATTTTCATTAATAATACATAAACGATAAGTAAAAAAACACTACAGCTCTCTCCAATCGCGTCACTACACCAGGACCTAGGAGCCCCAGGATACTGTAAAAGACAGGTATGGAGATATAAAGTTTTTCACCTTTTGTCTTTCAATAGGATTTACTTACCATTCCTGATCAGTTTTATGTTTTAAAGATGATCCAGCCAAGGCCTGAAAATCTCTCTAATGAAGCCAAAAATAAAGTTTTCTGTCAGATAGAACTGACTAACTACTTCACACCGGCTGAAAAACTGATCGCTACTGGGAAAAATAATTATTGTCAGTAGATTAAAGCGTAAATTAATATTGTGTTGTACCTGGAAACTCCCGTAAGGGTCATAACTGTAGCAGCAACATACATGCGCATTGATTGTCACTTTGTTTAATACTTCTTTTGACACTCGTCCTGCTACTGATTAGATCCATGTGCCATGCACGTTAAATGCAATACATAGTAGAAAACAGTTGCGCAGATCCTATACTGAGATCCCATGAATTTCAATAAGTAAACAAACGAAATTGTGGTGTGGTTTGTTTTGATTTCACCGACAGCTGGGACGTATGATTTTTTAACATTGATAACATAAAATCCGAATGAAATTCACATGATATCATGGTGACTGCCAATTGGCAAAATTCATATTTGAAAACACATGAATGGAACGTGTGGATTTTTTTGAGTGTAGATTTTCCAGGTTTTTTTTTCTACACTCAAAAAACTACACACGTCTGATCTAACTGTTTGAACACTTGATATTTTATATGCACAATCACATTTATTTTAAGTGTATTTCACCATGGTTCAATGTGTTCTACACGTTAATTTCTTGTGTTTCAAACTTTGAAATGTTGACAATCTTTCTCTATAAATTCAAGTGTATTGCACATTGAATCGCACTACTGTTCAAAACAGATGGATTTGAAGTGTTTTGCATTTCAATGCGGTGTGAAATGCTTGTTCTGCAAGGTAAACATTGAAAACATGAGTTGTGACTTCATACTTGCCAACCAGCTTCATATATGAGAACAACCATGGACCAGTAAGATCGAATGAAGACAGCTGCAGCAGCACACCCCAACAGTTCAGGATCAATTCCCAAATCTGACCCATTAATTAAAAGGCATGTGTATGCTCTACCCTTTGGCAGTTTTGTTTATATATTTGTCGATTTAATATTGAGTCGGTAAAGTAGAAGTCGATAAAGTAGAATATTGTAGAGCATTGAACTATGATGTACAAAGCTATTGATATCATCATGTGAGGCACATAGAATCCAAGTGCGTCACAATTCGAACCAATAGTTTCGAGGCATGGTTCAAAGCATAAGATTCACACATGAAATGGATGTGTTTCACAATAAGCGCAAAATTAAGTGTGAGGCACATGATGATGACGTGTGAAATTTTTTGAGTGTACGCTCCTGTTGCATGGTGACTGTCTCCAAAACAAGAGCGTTTTATGAACTGAAAAAATACACTGCTATTGTTATTGTTGTTGTCAACAAATAGACGTCAAAAGCTTCCGAAAACGTCCATTAGAAACGCTGTAATAAGCAAAAGAGCTTGTTCCATTACGAAGTAGGCCATGGTTTATGGTTTTATGGGCAGTACACAGCAAAAAAAAATGTAAAATCGATCAATGTAATCCAAGCTGATGTATGAAATAATGATGTAATAGCAAAAAGCAGATACAATATTACAACAATGGATGTAAAATCGATGTACATCGTACAACGTTATATTACACAACCGATGGATTGACCTGGTTGCAGCAGTTTGGATGTAATATTCAACAACTTTTTTTTCTGTGTAAATTAGAATAAAAAAAATTAAACAAAGATGAAGAACCCTAGGGTAAATCAATTGAGAGGGTTACAGGGCTGGTAGTGAGTCACTTTTTAGTGAATTGTTCACTTTTTTCAAGCAAGTCACTAAAGTCACTTTTTTTTGTAATAAGGCACTTTTTTTTAACTTTTTCAAACGTGAAAAACGCCTATCTTCTGGATAGGCCTACATTTTGTTCTATTTTTGAACAATTCGAAGTTGACGACCTTGTATAGAGATTTTTTTCTCGTTTAATCGTTCTTCTCTATCTACAGGGTGTCAACTCATTTGGCTAAATAAAGTTCCCTGAGTTTTTCAGGTTTTTTCCATAATTTTAGCGGATAATTTCCAGGTTTATAATAAGAATGCTATTTATGAAATGCGTTAAAAATATGTTTTTAACGCAAACGTTTTTAAAGCATGAAAATCAGTTTTAAAGAAACATTTTGAAGTGAAACACTTACTTTATTTTTGTAACTCTAAGATCACAACATTTTTAATGTCTTGACGTTTCGTACTATCAAAAATGTGGAAACTCTAATGAAGTTCTATTGATCTCAGAAAAGCTAGATCTAGAGATCTTTGCGGAATTCCAGAGATCTTAAGAGGATGTTCCCGAAACTTTCAAATCGAAAACCTATAAGATGTTCTGAAAGAATCAGTACAGAGAATTTCAGAAAATTTATGAAAACTTCATAAATATTTCAAGAACTTCACAGAAATCCAGAGAATCCCAGGGAAGTTTAAAGGTGTTTACGAGAATTCCATTTATTTTAAAGTAGAACCGAGATTAGAGTTGAGAATTTTAGGGAAGCTCCGAGAACATAAAGACGGATCAGAGAATTAATGGGGCAGTTCAAAAAATTTCAAGGAAATTGCAGAAACCAGAATTTCCGGAAAGCTCGGTTTGCTCAGAGATAAAATCTGGAACGCAATAAAGATTGTATGAACATCCGGAAAATGTGAGAGTATTTCAAGGAAATAGATCTTGAACTGTAGAAAATTCGAAAATTTAGCTAAGTTTATTAAAGAACATCAACGAAGTACCATTAATTAAAAAAAGGAAACTTTTAGCAAGCACAGATATTTTCAAGAAATTCCAGGAACTTCTAAGAAATTTAGATATTTTTGATTGTTTCATTATATTCAGTTAAGTTCTGAGTACTTCGAGGACGATTAGATAACATCAGAAAAATCCCATTAATTTAAGGAAATTTGCAGCGACTTACAAGGAGTTCCGTGGAATTATGGAATATTCCAAGAATTCTATATGATTGATCCGGAAACTTAAGAAGCTTTAGGGAATTATAAATATATATATATAGTCTAAAACATCAAGCATTTATTTCGTATGCCATCAAAACGACTAATTTTCATCCCTTAGGTCACTTTTTTAAAACTATAAGTCACTATTTGGTCACTTATTTCTTCAACATGGTCACTAAAATCACTATTTTTGACAGCATTGATCGCTACCAGCCCTGGGGTTAGAAGGAAAGGGGTGTAAGCTAGGGTGTAAGTGACTTTAATCGATTCTCTTCATCGACTTTCTCTTTTGATAGCCACCGCTTTATAAACAGATTTTGCTCTATTTCTGCTACATTGTTTGATAAAGGAGGTTCCCATTTAGCATCCAGAATGGCACACGAATCACGGAATGTGTTTGCAGCTGAATTATTAACGAAAGAGAAAGTCGATGAAGAGGATGAATCAAAGTCAATTACATCCCTTTCCTTCTTACTCCCTCAATTGTAATGTAAAGTCATAATCAATGGGATATAAAATGTAATTTTACTACCACTAGTTGACGGCATTCTTGTGACAAATTTCGAAGCGAACGGAAAGCAACGGGTGAACTTGGAATTCAATGGACTAAATTTGGAAGGCAATGGACGAATTTGGCGGATTGGTTGCTGAGCGACCGATTTGTGTAGCCGTGGCGGAGACTGGAAACCTCGACCCGGTCAAGGCACCATTAAAACGATGAAATGCTCCTTAAAACTTCGGAAAACGCTTCTCTACTGCGTAGCTACTCAGATTTACTGCCCTGCCCGCCGTGTTTTGGAGGACGCACAAGCACCTAATAACTCCTTTTATAATCTTCTTAAGAAGCGTAATTTGCAATAATTTTTAGAAGCTTCTTTAAGAATTTTCTTTAAAAGCTTATTTTATGCTGTTTTGTGTTTAGGCCTCGGTTTAGGCTGCTTCGTGTACGGACTTCTTTCATCACTATTCATAAGATAAAATCAGATAAATGTTTACATTCCACCGTGTATCCGGCCTTAATTTTCACTTGTATCTATTTGATTCCCTCCATTTTCTAAAAGTAAATTTTCGGGAAATTACAATGTATGTGTATCTTCATGTTTGTTTGCATCTCGCTTTATGTACTTTCTCCGCTGCGTGGATCTGTGGCAAGTTGAAGTGAAACTGCGTTGTTTAATTTATTCATTCAGTATTTCTATGCATAATACACATTACTTCTTCCGCTAATGTTAATAGTGTATCTTTGTGAATGTGTCCTGTTTGTGTGTGTTGAGTCAAAGTTATCGATAAAAATAAGTAGATCAGTAATATTTTCCACATAACCGACGTTAATGGCGATCGCCTGTTGGTTTCTTTTTTATCCAATTTTTACACGACTAGCTACCGTGAAGTAAGTTGTGGTGCTTAATTCAAAATCCATAAAAAAAATAAAAATGAGGGAAAATAATCTCTCTATTATCGTAAGGCACTATCGAGAGTCGTTTGGGGGTGTGTTTAATTTTCCCTTCAGCTGGAGACGAAAGTTGGAAGAAAATTCTAAAATGAGCAAATCACTTAAAGTCGGTTCGGTTGTTTCGAGAAATAGCTTTTATTTTTCGTTGAAATATTTGAGGAAAAAGTGAAAAATGAAAAATATGTCTACAATCAGTGCATTTCCCTAACCTCTAAGCTATTGCTTGGCCCGTAAATTTTTGGGACGGACATTTCGTCATGCTCACTTTTTACTCACGCACATATAAGGTAGTCTTCTCCGTTGTTTTTGCATTGAGTATCATTCAGATCTATTACACACATACACATACACAGCGGTAGCAAAGTTTAAACTTTGTCTCCGTCCTAAGCGACTTGATTGCGTACAGATTTAGAAGATGAGTCACTATTGCGGTCAGCAAGCAGTTAGGCAGTCCGTGAGACGGACTTTATCTTCTACTATTTTTTTTTTTCGGTTTCGGTGCGAGACAATTAGGCTAAAGCAGATGCGGTTTATTTTATTTTTTTTGTTTTTAAATAGTTAAGTGTGCCCATACTGCCCCCTACTGTGTTTCTTAGGCTAAGCGATCAAAATTGCAGCTTGCGTGATTCGAATTTTGTTTCTCAAACGTTGTACAAGTGTCTGTCTACTTGATTTATATAATAATTAATATTTACTAGCGTTAGGTTTATCATCATTTTGCACATGTAGTCTTATCGTCTAGAACCTATAGGTTTGTTTTAGTTCTCTCTCTGTTTTGAAAATAGTTGATTATGCTGTTCACAAAATTTACAGGTTTTTAATGCGTTGTATGGTCAGTATACACTGTGGGAATATTTCCCAGAAACGAAGTCATGACCCTTACAAATTCGATACATTTTCCCACTGTTTCCAAAGGTGAAGGTGAAGGTGGTTGGTTTTGATGAAAAATTTAGGCTGCCAAATTTGAATCTTACATTTTTAAATGTCTTTAAAAGAGAATTAATTGGTATCACATCTTTCATGTTGCTCGGTTTTTTTTCGCTTCTTTCTCTTCAAAACAAAGTGAAATATATCGTTTCTACGTTATGGAAAAGTATTCGTAATTGGCGTGCTTCCTGGCTTAATCTTCACCACTTAAAAATGAACTTTTTTTTCTGATTTATTGGCCAATCTTTATTTAAAAATCGTTGTTGTTTTAGGTGGATCAAGTTTAGAAGAGGGGGATCACATTACTAGTGCTTTCTCCCTACGATTGTTTTTTTTTTCATTCGCAAGCAGAGGTGGTGACAGTTTTTGAGGGAAAATTAAAAAGAAAACACGAAGTTATAAGAAGGACAATTTGTTTTTCAATTATAACTTACCATTAAAACTGGACAGATTATCTTTTTAGCTAAATATAAGTGTAAATATCACTACAACTGATTGAAAGATAGATATTTAAAAAAAAAAACAAAATAAAAGAATAACCAATAATAATTGCCATTTTTACCAGGAATATAAAATGGGGTTCACCCCTGGACTTGCTCCTATCATCTTTAGAAGGGTTAAGTATTGTTTTCTGTGTAGATTTTTCATAAAATAGAAACATAACAAAGAAATGGATCTCATTCAATTCCTCGCTCACTCGCACACTCAGACATTCAGTCACCAAGTTCCGTTGTAAAAGTATAGTCGGCTACCTCCAGTCCAGCATCGCCGCCACAGGTTCCCCCGGTTTCGTCCAGTTGGTACAGATAGCTCAGCAGGCGTTCCTCATCGTTGCCAACCAGATTGCCCAGCATGCCGAGCGGCCGATGGTACTCGGGATGCTGCGGGTGGTGTAGCGGCTGCTGCTGCTGATGATGGTTAGTCTGATGATGCCGTCCTCACATGTGGATCGTGGCGGCCGTGTAGCGGGCCTCTCCTCGTCGCCAGGACCACTTGTTTGGTCGGTACTAGGGTGAAGAAAGATGTAAATGAATACTTAGAACCGTGAAGTTTGCTGAGGGATATTAGCAGTCAGTATAATCAGTGAAAGTTTGGGATGATTAAATCATAAACATGATTTAAAATTTATGAAAATATGAGATTTTACCCTGTCAAACCTCCCTGAATTCTGTTTGAATCCAACTTGTCTTCGATTTTGACGTTGTGGGACCATGTATCAGATACGATGTTTTGGTAGAGGCATATTCTGATTCCATGGAGAAATTAACAGATTGCTTGGATATTCCATCCATATGATGAATTCTACGCCTACTATTCACACAATATAGTATTGCGGATCTTAAGAAAAATTTCCGTTTGGCGGCTACCGAGTTGTGATGTGATAATAAATATAGGGCAGGAGGGGCATTTTTTTTCTCTGTTCGGGACCTAACACTACTGCGACCAGTAAATTGATCTATTGTAGTATATCCCGTGTCCTTAGTTTAGTGCATGTCGTATTACTCCATCGCTATTGAGAAATGATGAAGTATTCGATTTTTTTTACAGTTGTCACTCACTTTATCGCAAGGATCCGACTCTAATTGAAAGGTCCCGCTATTTATACCCTTCGGAGTGTTGAAACACCCTCCAAAGGCGCGCCCCTCTGTCAATCAAAATTGGATTCCTTAGCAACAAAATTAAGGTATGACACCGATAATGACCATGCATCAGAACCCTAGTCTTAACCACTTCAAACTAGGGAACAACGAATAGAAGATTAGGAATCACATAGATGAAGCCAACTAACTCATTTTTTCCTTGTTTATCATCCTCGGTAGACAAAGCCGAGTCTTGTCACTATCAACAAGGCGTAAAAAGTAACAAGGACTAAGATGTTACATCCCGTAACGTACCACGAAAAGGTGACCTACCCACATTACGGGGCAAGTGTGCATTCCGCACTTTGGCTCTGGATCTCCAGCTGCATGAAACAAATCAACTGGTAGTAGGTTCAATATCATTATGATATTGATCCTACCAACAACCAATTTGTTCCGAACGGCCGGAAGACCAAGCTGGGGCATGATATGCTCACTATGCCCCTCTTACCCTTATGTATATGTCCCTAACCTCGTTCTAATATACAGCCGTCGATTACGTTTTCAATCACAACTTATGGATTAATTTAGCTGAAAACGTTATTCTACTGCTAAACCCTGGGGGCAAGACGGCTGTACTCAGAGTTAATATTTTCACAGCGAGTAAATTTGAGTAACTCATATTTACTCAAAAGTGATCAAAGCAGTCTCATATTCATCCATAAATTAAAAATTAAATCAGTATAAACATACATTATCTGTCAGAGTGTCGGAGTGATCCTATCCGTATTTTATTTTGTATTCTTGCATCAAATACTCATTAATCCGTGTGTATTTCTTTTCAGTGTGAATTTTTACTCTTACTTACTCGTGGTCTCTACTAAAGGGTGTCCACGATGAAATTGCCACACTATGAATTTGCTCTAACTTTTTAACCGTTGGGTAGAATTTAATGAAAATTTGGGTGGATTTAGTTCATAGTGCATTATTTACATCCTGCAAGTTTTAAAGTCCTGTGATCAAAACTCGCGGAAATGGAGTCGAAAGAACAGCTCGTGCGTGATAAAATCTTGCCCATTCATCACGAGAACAAGGATCTCTCGCATCGTTCCATCGCTAAAACGTTGGGAATCGCGAATTCCACGGTGTCGCGCGTGATTAAGCGGTTCGAGGAACGGTTGACCACCGATCGGAAGCCCAGAAGTGAAGGAAAAAGTATTCCGTACAACACCAAAAATCACAACCGCGTAGTTGGGGCCTTCAACCGAAATCCGAACGCCTCCGTTAGGGATGTGGCTAAGAAACTGCACCTAAGCCGAAGTTTTGTCCAGAAGGCCAAAACTAAGGCTGGGCTTCGAACGTTCAAGGTACAAAAGGCCCCTAATCGCGACGAGAAGCAGAACAAGTCCGCCAAAACCCGTGCCAGGAAGTTGTACCTCAACATGCTGACGAAAGTTGAATGCTGCATCATGGACGACGAAACATATGTGAAGGCCGACTTCAAACAGATCCCCGGCAACCTGTTTTTCACGGCCAAGGATAAGTTCAGCGTTCCGGAGCATGTCCGCACTCAGAAGATGTCCAAATTTGCGAAGAAATTCCTGGTTTGGCAAGCCATCTGCACGTGCGGGAAGCGGAGTGCACCTTTCGTGACCCAGGACACGATGAAAGGACAGGTGTTCATAAAAGAGTGCCTCCAGAAGCGGCTGCTTCCTCTCCTGAAGGCCCACAACGTCCCAACAATCTTCTGGCCGGATTTGGCCTCATGCCACTACTCCAAGGACGTGCTGAAGTGGTATGCGGACAATAAGGTCAATTTCGTGCCGAAAATGTTCAACCCTCCCAACACTCCGGAGCTCCGTCCCATCGAGAAGTACTGGGCGATTATGAAGCAGCACCTTCTTAAACGACCTAAGGTAGTGAAGACAGTCGAGGAACTGAAGAAAGTATGGGTTTACATGCAAAAAACGGTTGATTCACAGGTTGTGCAGAATCTTATGGCCGGGGTTAAGGCCAAGGTGCGGGCATTTGCGTATGGACTGTAAATAAAATACGAGTAAAATGGTAAAATGAAGTTTAATAGTTATTTCTCAATCCCTGAAAATTTGATGGCAATCGGATGAAAACTCGAATTTTGCGAATCAATTTTGTGTGTGGCAATTTCATCGTGGACACCCTTTATGGTGGGACAATAAAGTTGAAAATCGTCAAAAGATATTTCTGATATGATCTCGAGAAACGAACCCGTTATTTGGCGTGATTTACGATGGGTTGCCAAGGATGTATTATTTCAATTGTTAATTTCAGCATCTTATATAAATAAGTTAAAATGAGTTGCGAATTCTAGTTTTAATTGTTCTGATAGAGCAGTAAATTTGTATATGTGACTAGACAATGATCTTTCCATCAACCCATGGAAAATTACAACTCACAGTCACGAGTAAAACGCGATGCGAAGGAAGACAAAAGTACTACCATCAAAAGCTACGGTTTTCATTCGTGGGCAATACAGTCCTGGAATTACAAAGTCGTAGTCTTTGATGCCACGTGAAGTGAAACTTTTATGGGACAATGAAACATTTTGAATCTTGTTGGTGGGTATGCAATCTGCCAAAATGTTCACAATTGAATGCCCTACCATGTGCATCAAGACGTTAAATTATGGTACAACGCCATGTTCACTTGAAAATCCAATAATTATAATCAGAGATGAACTAGCCTATGGCTAAAAATCTCTTAAATAAAGATTAAAAAAAAACAATAATTATAATCGTCAACCAATAATATGCATTCACAGATGTGCATGCTGAGACACAGGTTTTGTGGATGGCAATCCGGTGTATAATGTTGTTGAATGATGGACGTCGATTTTCCTCATCAAACGTCTTTGCTTGACAATCGTGGAATACACACAAAACAAACAGGTTGCTGTGTCACCGTGCATTGAATATTGAGCAACTCGAGTTACTCAGAGTTACTCAAAATTTACTCCAGTATGACTCATTATCAAAAGCTGTCTTACTCCTATGCTAAACCGTATGCCTAGATATGCTTATCATATAGTTTGCTAGTAAGTACCACGAAAAGTTGAAAAAATTTACTTTTATAAAACGAAAACTCTCCAGGGACATGGATGTAATATCGGCCTATTGTCCCCAAATTAGGTCTATCCATGGATGCAACTTCGTCCCATCCTGTTTGATCACCAAAAGAATACTCTTGCTAACGTTTTCTTTTGTTTTTTCAGTCACTATCACCATAGAGGTAACTCTAAGACTAGAAGGTCCCGAAGAAACGTGCTCAATTTTTTGGCTCAGCTCTGGTACTCTCTTCGGTCTCAAGCTAATCGATTCACCCCTCGAAACATAGGAAAATCCACTAACCCCTCATTTTATCTGTCAAACTTTCATAGCGAATCAAAACAAACATAGTGTAGTACTAGAATTTCGACTAGACTGGGGTACGTTAATCGTTTGGTTGGGACCAATAGGCTAGTCAAGTAGTGAGCCAATTTAAAATCGTTAGTTTCATATTGATTGTTGGTACTAGTCAACCGCGTTTATCGTAAATCCGAAATATCAAGTTTTTGAGTGTTCACTCGGCTGTCGACAAAAGCAGGCCACTCTCGATGTGTGCTACGCGATCGTCTGTTTTCTCAGCAGCAACCATTGTGTGGTCCTCCTCATTGTTCTTCATCAGCAGTTCTTTCGGTCGATGCGTCGTCGACTTTGGAAAGCAACCGTTTCGTGATGAGTGTGTGAGTGCTGACCACGTTTTGCGTCCATTGCTGCAATGGACGCGCTCTGACCCTCGTTGGCGTACAACAATTTGCCATACAATGAAACCACTGGAAGCGGCTTCAGTTCTGATGGAGGAGGCTTTTTGGATAGCGGAAGATAAAGTGTTTATTGTGTTGTACCTTTTGACTATAGTTTTAAGATGTATTGTATAGTGACCAAAAACCCTCGGCTCTGTAAAGTTAATTCGGTTGAGCCTTATCAAATAAATTAATAAACAAAAAAAAAACAATTTTTATACTCAGCCATTTTATGTTCCATTTTTTCTAGGTTATTGCGTCTCAACTGGATCTTAACAAACACTAAGTGGGATACTAGATGTTTACTAATTAAAGAAATTATAACTGAAACGTCTTTTAACTGAAAGTGCGGTGATAGAAACAAGTTTTATTTAAAAGGTATAGTATATGTGCTTTTCCAAACGTTAAGTTACTTTGTTCATCACACGAGGATAAAAATTGATATATTTTAAATGCAATTGAAGTCGTTACGACCCAAATTTGAGTTTAGTTTACTCATAATCGCAAAAAGTGCAGGAACTCCGCGATGAGTAAATTTGCCTTATTTTTAGTCTGTGCAAAAGCTAAAAAATCTGCGGTATAATGAGAAAAAATACGAAAATGTTACTCA